TCTGGGCCCCTAGGCTCCTGTATTTCCTCTTGCTTGTCAGCTTACAATGTGTCTCCCTCAAGGACAGGGCTGCATCTGTCTTGCTTACCGCCGGATCCCAGCCACAGTACCTGCTACATAGGGGGTGCTCAATAAATATCTGTAGAATACAATTGAACTTGCTCAATGACAAAATTACAGTTGTCACAACATGCTCATGATGATTGAAACTGTGACCAAATAGATTTTGATGTCACTTCAAGTCCTAAGGCCCTGAGGAGGGTGTGGCAGCTGCCCCGGGGAAGACAATGCCCTCCACATTGGCCCTGTCTATGGTCCCACCAGCAACTTCAACTTGGCTTAGCATTTGGTGCCCAGCTTATCTAGAAAAACAGTAAGGTCTCCCCAAATCCCACCCCACTTAGTCCCTAAGCTCTTCCAGTGGATTTGAGCATCACTGAGTTGGGGAACTGTGAAGTCTTCCCACCCTAGATATTCTGATTCTAAGGTCTGTGTTGGCAAATCCTTTGATACTCTAGCTCTATAAAACCTTCTCTTGGGGGGTCTTCCACTACTGTTAACTAATAATTTTTAGCCAAAATGTTACTTCTTATCAACCAGGTTTCTTGTCATGTAATAAACATGGGTTTATTGACAAATGGAGGCCATGTCTCCAGAGGGTCTTCTCATACTTTTCTGACCTTTGTTTCCTCCTTGTGCATCCTAGCCAGCTGGACATGAATTTGGGTTCAAATTCTGGCTTTGAGACTCCATGGCTATATGACCCTATTACTTTTATTTTATTGATTCTTATTTATTGAGCACATACTATGGGCCAGGCACTGGATTATATGCTGAGGTTATAGCAGTGAATAAAACAGAAAAAAAAACCCTTCTGTTTTCATAAAAGTGATGTTCTAGGTGGAGGAGGTTGGGGTTGAAATACTTCAACAAATAAAACAATGTGCAGTGTGTTGGGTTGTGGTGAGTGCTGTGGGGACAGTGAAGCAAGGAAATAGGACAGAGAGATAGGATGTAAGCTATGCAGGTAGCTGGGGCAGGACATCCTGTGGGGAGAGGAGATAGCAAGTTCAAAGGCCCTGGGGTATGTGTGTGGATCAGCAAGGAGGCTGATGTGGTCAAATGTAGACAGCGAACAGGAGAGTGAACTGAAGTGATGTAGGAGAAGTGACCAGGGCCAGATCACATAGGGCCTTTTGTAAAAACTTTGGATTTAATTCTGAATAAACTGTGGAGCTCCTGTAGAGTTTTGAGGAGAGAGAGAAGAATCCAGTTCACAGTGAGTGTGCTGCAGGCAGCTCACACTGGCTGGTGTGAGCCAATTGTTAAATGTCCAGGCATTTGGCGAGCCTGTTGTCCTTATGTTAGTAGCTTGAAATTGCCATGGTGGGAGTATTTACACCATGGAAATTGGCAAGTGCTACAGATCTGGCTCCTCCTCTCACCTGCCAAGAAAGCGAGTTTGAACATTTATAAGCACTCTACTGGGCCAGAATAACTCCAAGGTTTTGTTTGTTTGTTTGCTTGAGTTTGTTTCCTGAGCAGTTGGTAGGAAGAATGGCTCCTTACTGAGATGGGAAAGATAGGGTAAAACAGGTCTAGGAAGAAGAATCAGGAGTTTAATTCTAGATACATTTTATGTGAGATGCCTCTTCGACTTCCCAGTAAAATGGTGAGAAGCAAGTGGATATGAGCTGGATATAATTAATAGTTGTACCAGCTCATAGGATTACTCTGAGGAGCAAACAATACAATTCATTTTTTACTTATAAAAAATAAAAATTAATGTTTGTAAAGAACCTTGCAAATAGTAAGTGCTCAGTAGCGTAAATTTCTTTATTGTTGCAATGAGAAAGGGCCTTAGTCACTGTCTAGACCAAGGGTTGCAAACTGGTGGCCCTCAGGTTGAATCCAGGCAGTACACATTTTTTTGAAGGGGGCATTATTGTAAAAGCTCAAATTTAGATGATTTTAGGTGGGGCATGTACTTTCCAGTTCATCACAGACCCCCCCTCTCCCAAATGATCTCACACCAGCACAATTCCTGTATTTATGTGACTTGCCTGGCTCTGAAGGGGTTTGAGTTTGCATCCACCCTTGGTTCTAGGGAACCCATCATTTTTCACAGGAGGAATCTGAAGTCCTGAGAGGCTAGGTGATGAGTTCAGGGACGCTCAGGGCATGGAGGAAGGAAGCTAGTGGTCCTCCCTCCGAGTCAACGCTCAATCTAGTGTTGCCAAAATGATCAGAAGAGAGCAAGTCTGCCCTCTGCGAGTCCTCTTCCTGAGGCTAATGCTGAAGGCCTGGCTTTGGGGAAGGATTTCTGCTTTAACTGCTTGAGGTTCCCAGATGGGCCGCCCTGCTGCACTTGTGCTTACTGGTGGAAATAAAACCAAGTCCTGTATGAAGCCGAAGGTTAACTGAATATTTGATGCCTAGAGAAGATGAAAGCAAGATTCACATTTTCCTGTTTCCTCCTCCAGGCCTCTGGCACCAAAGGGAGATGTCAGCGGTCTTGTTTAAGTAAAACCACCCATCTGGAGGCTCTCTGTGAGGAGAGGACAGCCAAGCCAAGCAGAAGGGAGGAATCACAGACAATTTTGAGGGACTTGGGGCGGGTGGAATCCCTGCAAGAGAAGCCAAGAACTCAGGGGATGATTTTACCTTCTCTTGGCTGAAGATTGAAGTGGTGTGTCCAGTAACTCCCGGGGGGGAGGGGCTCATAAACTGGGACCGTAAATTTATATTTATCACGCAGGTAGTGGGGAGCCACAGAAGGCTTCCTAGGGGGAGAAACCTTAGGATGCAGTTTTCTATTTGAAGCTGAAGCTATGAAGACCCCAGAACCTTCCTTTGATCCTTTTCCTCTGTAACCCCTACCCCATCTCCATGCTCCAGCCACATTAAACTTGCCTTAAGTTACTAAGTGGGCAACACTCTCTCATTTCCAGGCTTTGCAGATGCTGTCTGCAAGGGTGTCAGGGATGCTCTTCCTTTGCCCTCTTCATCTGCCTACCTTCTCTTTCATCCTAGCTGAAAAGTCACTTCCTCCTGGAGGCCCTCCCTGACTTTACTCAGGCTCCCTCTGCTGCCTGTCCTCCCCCATCATATCTCCTATCACGTTTCATACAGTTTCTTGTTCACCTCACACACTGGACACTGAGGGTGGAGACTGTTCTGCTTTTCTCACAACTGTACCTCCAGCACTTAGCCTGGTGCTGGCGTTCAGTAGGCATGCAGACTTTTTTTTTTTTTTTTCTAGAGTTAAGAGAGACAATCCAATCCACTCTTATCTAATATAAACTTTACTGCTGAAGGTACAATGATCAGAAGCTTTCCAGCACCTAAAATTGTGCTTGGCTCATAGTAGACAGTCAGCAACTATGTCTGGAATGAATGAATGAATGAGCATCTGATTCGAGGCTCTAGAAGTCAGACAGAAGGGAATGTGGAGGAGAGGATGAGCTCTAATTGAGGAGTGAGTGAGTGAGGCAATGAGCCTCCAGTAGCCACAAAGCACCGACGTTCCAATTCCCCAGTACCGATGAGAAAAACTGAGGCCTAGAAAGTAGCTTCTGGTCACACAGCTGGGAAGTGAAGGAGGTGGAATTCTTTCCTAGGTCAGCCTGGCCCCAAGTCCACAAGGAGCAACTGTTCAAGCTCTGTTAAGTCTTTGACTCAGCTGGCACAGGAGGAGGTCCTGGGACATCTTCTGAGGATAGTTCTGCTGCCCCTAAGGAGTAGCCTCAAAAGGCAGTCACTAATAATTTGCAGACGATTTCCCTCTTCTCTCGCACAGCTCCTCTGCAGAGCCAGGCAGCTCGAGTGCTGTTTCCAAACCTGCTGGATTTTGGCATCTCCTCCTCCACCCTGTGCCCCCTCAGCCACCTGGGTTTGCTGGGAAGTCTTTTCTTCTGCTTTCTTCAGACACTGCCACCTGTCTCTGACCCCTTCTCATCCCCATCTCACATGAGGAAGTTGGAAGAGCATGGCTGAGAAGCCACAACAGCCTGGATTTCAGCTTTGCTACTTGCTAACTGGGTGGCCTCCCTGAGCCTCAGCTGCCTCATCCAGAAAATGGGGACAATTGCCCTCCAGGAAGGGTTATTTGTGAGAATTACCTAAGATGTAAATATGTAGAGCAATCACTGGCACATCTGACCCAGAGCAGGTGTCTTCCTGATCCCTGTGAGTGTCACCCTTTTGGAGAGTTAGGGAGGAAAGTTCTGGGTGGAGCATCTAATAGTTACCCCCACCAAGTTTAGAAATCAAAGCCCTACAGCCAGGTAAATCCACTCATTAAACACTTTTTCATTCAGCGATTATTTACTGAGCACCTACTATGTGTTAGGCTCTGTGTTAGATTCTGGAAACAGGTAAGCCCTACCAGGCCCTGACTGAGAGGACCTTCTGGTCTAGCAGAGAGAGACAGACAGGAAAACAAACCACTGTAGTATACTGAGTACGTAGTACAGTGCCCTCATTTCTCTGACCACACTGGCCATTTATTCCTTTGAAAATGACACGTTTGCTTTTGCCACAGGGCCTTTGCACATTCTGCTCCTTTTGGATGCATCACTCCAATTTATCCTTTAGTTCTGAGAGTTAGTATCAGATACTTGGGGAAGTCTCTTCCTACCTTCCTATCTATATCAAATCCCCATTATAGAACCTCATAGCACTATAAATCTTTCCTTGCATTGCTTACTAAAGTTACATTGTGCAATTATTTGTACTCATCTTCATTTAATATCTGTTTCTTTAGTATACTGAATTTTCTGAAGACAGGGATTCAGTGTGTGTGTGTGTGTGTGTGCTGCTGCTGCTGCAGCAGCTGTTATTTTTATTGGTCTCACTGTAGGGACTCCAGTTCTTTGCTCAGCCCCTGCCACACAGTAGGTGCTTAATTACTACTAGTTGAAAGAATAAAGCAGGAGCTATTTATTCCCCAATCTCCCAAATTCGGTTGGATTGTGGGGCTACCCATCAAAAACACTCACAACTGGATATCTAAGAAGATCCGTTTCTCTTCCCCCACGTGGATCTTCCAGATACAATCTTCACCTTCCACATAGGGCTCTGGCCAATTTGGGGACAGCACCACTCCAGCCACAGCAGAAAGTTCTCCACCACACATGGCTGTAAAAGACAGACAAACTTTATTTGTAAGAAAGCCAATATGGCATAGCAGTTAAGAGTGTGGACTATGAAGTCAGACAAACGTGGATCTCTGTATCATGGACAGGTGCCCTCACCTCAGGCAGTCAGTACACGTGTGTGGAATGATGACATGGGAGCTGCCACCTGTCTCCTCTTTAGCTGAGGGCTGGTGAGAGTTGGGCTATAGGTGCTGTAATTCTTTCAGGACCAAGGACAAGCTCAAATGTCGGAAGGACTCCTCAACAGCTCTGCCCTCGTGCAGATTGAGCAGTGGCTAGGGTACGGTACACTCAAGTCAGGTGGGCCCAGGTTCCCAGCCCACCAACAGGCCCTGGGACAAGGTATGCAACTTCTTGGAGCCTCAGCTTTCCTTCTCTACAAAATGAGGGTAACACCCCTGCTGGCCTCATTGGGTTACTTTGAGGCTCGATTGAGCTCATAAATGTCAAACATGCAGCACTGTGCCTGGCACATGGCAGGTGCTCAATAATTTAATTAACATTGCTGTGAAAGGCTTTGGCCCTGAAGTGGAGGGAGAAATGTGGCTGTGGCTGGTGCCCTTTAAATTCCACTCTGTGTTTACTGCTTTGGAAAGTTCTCAACATGGCAGAGGCCAAAGCACCAATAAATTCCGCTCTGTTAAACCAGCACATTTAATACAGGGATCAATCCCTCACCATGGCAAACTTGTGATTTCACACCAGCCACCATCCAGGCAGCGGCTGCCAGGAGGGAGGACACCCTTCATTACTCCACATGCCACCAGGAAATCCATGCTTGGGTGGCTCGGTGACCTTAAATATGGGGGCATGAGTAGGGCAGGCCATTGGTAGCCCATGCAGGTGAGGATTCTACACAGCCGTCATTGTCCAGAGGGGCTCAGAGCCTAAGTCTCTGAGAACAGAGACCTGAGTCCCATTTCTGTCTCGGCCAATTACCCTCAGTGTGTTCTTAGACATGTCACTTCACAGCATTGGTTTCCTCATCTGTACATGGGGCTAATAATACCTAGAGTTGTGGTGAGAATGAAACTGGATCATGCACATACAGTCCTTGGCAGAATGCCTGTGACATAATTATTTCACAAGTATTAACAACTATTATTATCATTATTATTAATGAGAGCCAGGGCTGACATGTATTGTTGAGTGGGTTGTGCACTGCACAAGGGTGCATAGCAGAGTATGTAAGAGCTGCAATCCATGCAGTGATCTGCTCACCAAGTTGTTCACCCTGGAGGAAGGGGCACCTTTCAAAATTTGTGATTTTGTCATTTCCCCGAGGACCATCAGCAACACTGATCCAAAGGATAGTGAGCCCTGGAGTGGGTTCTAATCCTCAAATCGGTGTGTAAACTGGGGACATTCCTCTAAGTTGGGGCCTTGATCTTCTCAGCTGAAGGGGTGGAGTTCCCTGGGGGGCCCTGGGAAGAGGGCAACGGCTCGCTCACCTCTGCACAGGGGCTCCGTGTCGTTCCAGTATGGGTCCCGCACATTGATGCACTCGATGATGGCCGGGCCCTGCTCCAGGGAGTGGCCAGGGTCGCAGATGAATTCCACTATGGTCCCAATGTTATAGGTCGGGTCGGATGTGGTGAAGTTCCCATTCTGAATGTAGGGCTCATAGCAGTGGCCTTTTTCAAAGGCTGGGGTGGGGGTAAAAAGAGGGGCAGCAGCTCAGATGAGTCAAAGGCCACCCCACAGTGCTGTGTCTTAGAACATGGGGCCCCTCTTGCTGCTTAGGAAATCTCTGAGGAAAACGAGCACCAGACCACATGTTCCAGTTGCAGCTGACCTGCTGAGAACCCTTGGGTCATTTGCTTGACTTCTTGGAGACTCACTTTTTTCATATCTAAAATGGGAATAAGAGTCTCTACCCTCTCAGTTCTGCAGAGCTGTTGTGTTTTAATTTTTTTCCATATCCCCTATGTATCCTTCCCATGTCCCATGACTTCAGAGTTCTCATTTCTGCCACTGGAAACCATATGTTTGTCTATAATAAGGACCAACCCTTCTTGGGAACATCAGAAAAGAAAGTCCCCCAAGGTAGGTGAAATGCCTTTCTTAAAGTGTCAGGGTCTGAACAGGAGAGGCCCTTGCTAATTCCTCTTGGAGGAAGAGGTAGCTGGACTCTAAGAGGTCTCACTGGGTGGGGTAGAGCTGAGTTCAAGGGCCCTGATGCAGGCTGGACAGAAGTCAGACCCATTCTTACTAAGTGGTAGCCTTGGTAGCAAGTCACCCAAGTTCCCTAAAGCTCGGTTCCCTCCTTTACAATCGGAGACAGTAACAGTTCTAACATCTCAGTGTGGGGAGTACCAAACAGATGGCGCACGTGCAGCACGCAGTTAGTGCTCAGTAAGTGGTAGGCATTAACAATCAGACCAAGAGTCTGTCTTTGAAAATAAAGGGTCAGTCTGACCACTGGCTCTCTCCCATCTTCAGCAATCCAGATCTCTACATCCCAGGACACTGTTCCAGTCCCTCATGACTCCCCTGCTCCCAGGTCACAACCTCAAGAGGAGAGGACCCAGCGACCCTCACCCTCAAATCGGATGTTGAAGGCTGAGGCTGCCCGGGCCTGGTCAGATGTGAACTCGATGCGGATGGTGTTGCTTTCGCTCAGCAGGCCCTCGAAGGGGACACTCTCGGTTTGAAGAGAGTCATAGAGAAGAGTGGACTTGTTGGTCTGCCCGCTGTGGACCATCATCCTGGTGGTGGAGAAGGAGAGGAGGGACACTGAGAGATCTTCCTGAGTCATGGACACACATCCGTGGGAGGGGAATGCAGTGACTGCTACCTCTGGAGTCTCATTCCTGGACTCAAGTCCTGACTTTGCCTCTTACTTGCTCAGACAAGCTGTTCCCTCTTCTCCAGAATGGGATTAAATGCTTGTTGCAGATTCCTAATGGGTTTATCCCAAGGTTGTAGGCTGTGTGATGTGTATGATGTAATGAACCATACTTATTAATTGACATTTATTATTATTATTAATTGAAAAATTGGGATTCATGGACTAATAACATTGCTGAAACAGTGGCATATATAGTCAGGCAGACCTAGGTTTGAGTCGTGACTCTGTGACTTCTGAGCTGTGTGACTTTGGACAGGAACACTTCACCTCTCTGAGCCTCTGTTTCCCTACTTGTAAAATGGGTACAATCAGACCTACATCAATGTGTGAGGATTAGAGACCATGAACATAAAGTGTCCAGTCCAGAGTAGGTATGAAAGTCATACTTACTAAGCATTTGGCTCTTACCAGGCTCTGCCTCTGATCTTCATTTCCTAAGAGCACTGTGTGAGGAGTCATGAGTCCTGATTTCCAGTTCCCAGTTCCCCCCTGTCTGAGTTTACATAAGTCTCAACACAACTTTGGCTCTCAGTCCCCCCAGCTGAGAGAGAAGGAATCATGACATCTTTCCAATCATTCTTTCACCACCAATCTTACAGGTAGGCTTTGAGAATATTTCAAAATAAAGTGCCCTGAAAAATAAAATGTGCTAGTCAAAATGTTGGGTGTTCATTTTTATTGTTTTACTAAAGCCATTTTATACCTGACTCCTTGCTAACCTTGGCATTTTAAAATAAATTTTGCAAAAGTGGGGAAGAAAACAGTACATAAATCAGTGAAGTTTCTTGTATGGAGTCATAGACACACATTTTTAGCCCTTTGAATTTTTCACTATGACTCATAAAAAGGGTTTATTTTATGTTGCCCAGATGAATTTCTAATGTCACCAAGATGCATACATTTGGAGCCACAGTTTGCTCATTTTGCCATGTGTCCAGTGTGGCTGAGATGAAGCGGGGGGCTGTGAGGCCAGGGGCCATCCCAGGAGTCGGGAGGGGCACCTCCCCTGTCTTCTGATCCCTGCTGACTCTGCTGTATCTTGGGGACTGTGATCCAGGACTCCCCTTTTAAGGAACAGAAGCCTTTGGCAAAGAGGGTTGCTCTGGGGGAAAATTCCAAGATCTCAGAATCTCTAGAGTCTGTCAGTCTTTTAAAAATAGCAATTTCCTGGCTATGTTCTCAGGAAAATGTCTTCAGTAGTAATACATTTTATCTCAAATCCTTATATAGTCTGAGGTCAAATGGGTTTGGGAAGTGCTGGGTTAAACAAAACAAAACAGAAACTTTACTTTTTTCCTGCAGGACTTGTCAGTACCTTTTCTGGCTAACGTGTGTTAGGACCTTCCAAGACAGGGGTAGAGTGGGCATACAGTGTCTCCTAAACATGTTTGATCAAAGAACCCACCTTTTATGCTGCATATCATGGAGCTGGAGTTTAGAAAGGCTTCATTTGGAGAAGAATCATCTTAAAATCTTTCTTCATGTTCCTTCTCTACTAAAAATCCTCCCATGTCTCTCTGTTGCCTGTAGAGGTAGCCTGGCATTTAAAGCCCTTTGGGATATGACCCCAATTTGCCTTTCCTGGTTTATTTCCTCCTGCTTCCCATGGGAATCTTTGCAGCAGCACCTCCTACCCTCTAAATTCTCCAGGCTTGAAACACTCCTCCCACTGTTTTGGAGTTCCTTTATCCATTCTCTTTCCAATGTTTAGATCAAAGTCCCATTTCTTATGTGCAGTCTTACCTAGCTCTGAGCTCTTGAAGCTGACACATTGTGGCATCTGAGACATTTTCTCCTCAATAAAGTGCATGGGACAGATAAAATTAATTTGTCTTTTCTTCTTAGCACAGTGAGTATCTTCACCTTTTTTTTGCATTGACCTTTAACCTTGATGAAATACCACAAACTTCTTTCTTTACAGACACACTTGAGAACTAGTTTTCCCTGGTGATTGTCAACTCATACTTTTCATGATCTTTGCAGGGCCTCATAGAGGCTACTAGTGAGCAGTGTGTCTGTTTGGCCCATCTGTCATGATTTCAATAAATTTCAGAAAATACTCACTTTGGTTAACTTTTTTTCTCTTTCTGCTCATTTTTTTGGTCTGGTACAAACTTGGTTCATCTCCAGAACCATTGAACTGAGGTCTAAGTTTTAAAAAGTGTCCTTTCCAGGGTTCCTATGCCTGGTTTCCCAACTGCAGTTTCCAGGAGGAAGAATTGAGAATTTGATTTTTAAAGATGTCCCTAGGTTATTCTGATGCCACTGAGAAGCCATGTTCAGGAGCCCCTATTCTATACTTTACACTTTAAAGCAGGGATTTATTGATATGAAGTTGTTCAGGATAAAGCTGGACTGCTTGCAGGGAAGTGGACTCAAGAGATGGGCAAATTATTCAGTTGTCTGTTTTTATTACTATTATTTTATTTATGAGAGTCCTTTCCAACCTAAAGAGTTAAGGGTCTAGGTTTAAAATATCAAAGAAGCCAGGACACTAAAATTCTAGGATCAAAGTTTGTAAGCCTCCAGAATTCTAAGGTGCTGGCATCCTGGAAGTGTAGTAAATGCTACTAGTGTCCTGCCCCTCATATCCCCTTAGCACTTACTGCTCCCACACTTTCTGCTGCCTTCCTACACAAAGTCTCTGAGAATCAGCCAGCTCAACCAGCTCAAGGGGCGGTAGGCAATGCTGAGGCGTTGGCATGCCCAGGAGCATCCTTCACCTATGATAGGGGTTGGTGGAGAAATACCCCAGCTCCCTCTCTCCTCCAGGAGGATTGCTCTGAGGTGTGCTCACAGTGCCTCAGATGTCCCCAGTGGACAGAATCCCAGCTTCCCCAGCAATCACCTGCTTATTAGTGTGTACTATATTGTCTCACTTTCTCATGCCCTACTATTATGGCTTACTAGGAGCAGCTCCCAAATAAACTATTTTTCCCTCAAATTCTTGTCACCATGTCTGTTTCCAAGGGAGTCCAACCTAAGACAGCAAGTCTAAGCAGCTAAAGTCCTAGTTTTCTAAAATACTCTAGAGTAAGTTTTTAGAATATTAAAGACTTGAGATTCTGGATTCTATGCATATCAGAGTCTGCAGACATGCTCTCACTTACATGTTGCTTCGTAACTTCTCCACTAGTTATTTCATGTGCATAAGACTCATTTTTCCATCTAACTTCCTATCATACCAGAAACCAGTGTTCTCTACTTCTCTCCTGCTCTCCATAAAGCCTAATACATGACTGGACCCAGAGCAGGTGCTCAATAAATAATCCCTCTTTTTTTCAAGTGCAAAAAGTAATGTGCAAAAGAAAGAATGAAGTGGCACAGTGTGGGGGACCAGTATTCCCTTCTCGCCTCTTCTGCTACCCTGCTGTGTGACCTGGGACAAGTCCTCTCCCTCTGTATGTGTTTCTGTGTAAAAGAAAGAGATTGCACTTGATGGTCTCTGAGATCCTTGCCATCCTTCCCAGTTCTTCCTTTCTTGAATTCCATGAGCCAAAGCTTCAGCCATTTCAAGACCCCCACCCTAGCCACATTCTAACACTCTAAGAGAGAATGGAGCTGGGTGGGGACCTTCAGAAGTTTACCTGTCCTTCTCATGCAGCAACAGCCTCTCAAAGTGCAGATGCAACTTCTGGCCTTCTGGAGCTTCGATCGTCCACACGCAGAATTGACTCCCATTGGCATTTCCAGGGTAACTTGGGGAGAGGACACGGCCGATGGTGGCGTTGTACACAGCCCCTCCACAAGGGGCTGGGTCCAGAAAGTAGGAATGGGCAGGCAATGAGGGGAGAGCAGAGAGAGGAAGTGAGTGTTGTATGCTCCCCTGATCCCCCTCCCACCTCTCAGCTAGAGTGAAACAGGAGAGACCTGAGGTAGAGGAAACAAAGTGGGGAGAGAGAAGGCTTAAAAGGGACTCGTCCTCCTGGGAGGGAGTCATCCTGTTTGATAGGAGACCGCACTTCACGATTGGAACCATCAACATGTGTTTCAAGGTAGAGAATGACTGTGATTTAAGAACTCTTCTACGGAGATGGTTGTGCTCAGACTTTTAATTATAAAATGGTAATCAAGAAGGACATTAATAGGCAGATTACAAAAGAAGAAATGTATTTTTAGTGTTTAGTAAGCACTAAAAGATTCAGCTTCACTAATAATAAAGGAAATGCAAATTTGAATTATATTCTATTTTCATCTACCTAATTGATCACAATAAAAGGCAGCAATAAAATTTGGAGATGGTAAACGTGATCAGAAATGTTTACTCTCATCCATGACTGGTTAGAGTACAAATTGTTAGGAACTTTCAGGAAGGCAATTTAGTGAAAAGTCTAGAAAATGTGCTCAAACACTTTGACCTAGCAATTATGGTTCTAAGAATTTATCCTAAGAAAAAAATTCGGAGAATTGCATAAAGATTTATGAATGAGGATATTCACTGCTACCTTGTTTCTAAGAGTGAAAATGAGAAACAACACAAATGTCCACTCAGAGATGTTTAACAAAATAAATATACTCCATCCACGCAGTTATTAAAGACTGTGTTCTCAAAGCATACTTAAGAATATAGGAAAATGCTCACTATTTTAAGTGAAAAAAAGTGCATGTTAGAAAATGGTCTGCTATGCCTATTTCAATGAGCTATTTGCAAGGATCAATTGAGACCATAAGAAGAAATGGGATTTGCTCCTATCTTATATGTTTTTGCATTTCTTGACAAGTTTTCTTTTTACCAGAATCATATATTACTTTTATCATAAAAATCTAATAAAGAAATATTAAAATGTGATTCGTGCACTAGAAAGAGTTGTATAACTTTTTCCAGTTCACAAGTTAGGAGGCATTCTTATTCTTAGGAGTTATTTGGTTCTTAGGAAATTGATGTTTCATGTACTGCTTGAGAGAGCTATTCTGAATTTTCTAAAACCAAGCAGAGCTGGTGGGCAACAGGCACCTCTCCCAGAACTAAGCAGTCAGTTCAGGAGGAAGGGATGTGAGGTACATCTGAAGATCATGATTGGGTAAAGCCCTGTGCCAAGATCAGGGTTTCAAGTGTTGGGAGCCATCTCTATTTTTTTTTAGGAAGATCAAAGAAGTTTGAAAAATCTTCCTTCTCAAGCACAAGTCCCTTGGTTCCTTCTCCATTTTCAGAGGAATAGAAGGACAGGAAGCAAAATTTGGACAGGCCCTTTGGAATCCCCTCACAGAGGACTAATGGGTAAACTTTGTGGGTAATATGAAGTTATCCTCACGGCTCCCTCTCTCATCTCCTACAAGTCTCTGCTCAAATATTGCCTCCCGTCAGTCTCATTTTGTTTTTCTGCTCAATCTTTCTTCATCACTCTGATCACCATTTAAAAATGAATATATGTCTTTGTTTATTTGCTTTGTTATGTATTTCTCCCCCTGTAAAATGTAGGTTCCACAAGAGCTGGAACTATTTTTTGTACATTTGTTTTTTATCATACCACCAGTAAACAGAAGAGTTCCTGGTATGTAGCACGTGCTCAGTAAATATTTATGGAATAAACAAAAACTATGCATTTTGCAAAAGAGGACAAAAAGTTCAGAGGTGTTAAGCTACTTGCTCAAGGACACACAGCTAGTAAGTGGAGTAGTTGGGACTCAAGCTCAACCTGCCTCATTCCAGAATCTATTATTAAAACCACTACTCTGGCCTATGTGTTTTTCATGATGATATTCTGATGATCCAGAAAGGTGCATGGTAAATAGTGGGTGTTATACAAATGTTTATTGGATGAAATGAATATTTTTTTCCTTTGTGTACCTCCAGCACCAGCTCAAAGATAGACACAGGGCAGGTACTCATTGAATGTTTGTTGAATGGCTGTATGAATAAGTAGGGAATAGGGCTTGCAGTAGAGGAGAAGCGTGGATAGCTCCCCTCTCTGTTCTGGACTCTACGGTGAAGACATTGCCAAGAAGCGCTGTACTTCTTTCAGAACCACGGACAGAACACTGAATTCATTGTCTCTCCAGGCTGCCATTCTGCGCTGTAGAGGAGAGATTGTCCTCTCAAGTAAGCCAGCCCTAGGTTCAAATCTCACTTGTGCCATGATCTGCTGAGGATCAAGGACAAGTCACTTAAGTTCTCTGCACCTTCAGTTTAGGAAAATGGTGATAATAATTCCACCCTCCTTATAGAATTGTAGTGAGAAATCAATGAAATGATGTACATAGACAGCTTGGTGCCATCCCTGGCATAGAGTAGGTACTCAAAATGTAGCCAGCATTATAGCACTGTGCTCAGGAGCTGAGAGATGAAGGACACTGTCCCTGGTGGGGAGTTCTGGCCATCTGTCCTCCTTGAGCTACTACACATTTGTTGCCTCTCTGCTTCCTTCTTTGCCTTATTAAGCCGACTGCTGGCTCTGTTTGGTTTCAATTTGCCAGCCGTGGCTCCCCATCCATCGTTCTTAGCACAAATTGAGGCTTAATTCTTCTCTGATTTCACACATAGATAAAAATTAATGTGAGAGAAGCGTGAAGACCAACTGCCCTATGATTTAGATTTTTTTTCTTTGTTAAAAAAAAGAAAGAAAAATTCTGAAGGACCTTGGGGAACAGTACTGCAGCAATTAAATCCCAGAATTTATCATCAGCTCTCATTTGCTTTTTGGATTTCACTTGACTATGAATGCCTAGAGGGCAGGAATTGTTTTCTTATTCCCAGTTTTCTCCTGTACATGGCTCATAGACTGGCACACGGTAGGTACTCCAGTTATTATGCAAAACTGATACCTTCTTGGCCACCATCAGGACTTATGGGAATATAAAAGGGTTTTGCTCTCTTGATAGCTAAAGATGGTCAAGGCTGCACCCATTGGTGCTGAAACAGTATGATACAGCCCAATGTTTCTCAAACTATAATGTGCACATGAATCACCCAAGAGGCATGTTAAGATGAAGATTCTGATTCAGTTGGTCTTTCATGTGGCCCAGGATTGAGCATTTCTAATCGTCTTTCTGTTTGAGGACCATGCTTTGAGTGATGAAAGTGTGAGGGACTGAGCCCAGGAGAGAAGGGCTCTGGACTCACTCTCACCATTTCAATCATGTTACTTTCTCTACCTAAGCCTCATTCTCTTTATCTGTGAAGTGGTAATCCTACCTCCCTGAGCTCCTATGAAATACTAGATGCTAACTGGTCTCCACGGATCCACTCTGACCACCCCCAACAATCTGTTTGCCACATGGAAGCCAGAGCGATCTCTTCTATGCTTAAATCCTTGTAGATACTTCCTGCCAGATCCATACAGCTTCTCATGGCCTGAAGACCTTGAGAAATATGGTTGCTGACCACTGCCCCAGTCTCCTATACTGCTGTTTTCTCTGCACTTTAGTCAGATTAGTCCTTTTTTACTTCCTCAAACTCACTGAGTTCCTTCCCACCTCTGAACCTTTACATATGCTAGTTCCTCTGCCTGGAACAATCTTTTCCATCTTTTATCTTCAGTCTAATGATCTCCTAGTCAACATCCAGATCCTGGTTTAAGAGTCTTGTCCTCAGGGAATCTTTCCCCGTCCCCTCTCGCATCCACTCCTACCCCCCAAGGCTAGGTCCACTATCACATCTTCTCCCTGAATACTCTCCTCCATTGCAACACCTCTCCCAATAACTGACATCTTGTCTATCTCCACTTACTCTGCATCATTCCACCTTGTGAATATCTTTCCCAGTACTTAACACGATCTGTTACCATCATGTTTGCTCACCTGTTGCTCATGTATACACTGCATCCTGCACTAGAGCAGACACTCCTTGAGGGCAGGGAGTGGGTCAGGGTCCCTGTAATAGCATTAGCACGAGGTGCAGTGCAGTACCCACACACAGTGGGCACTTGATATTTGTTGAATGATCATGTAGATAGGAAAGGATCTGAATGATAAAGAACCACCCACGTGGGCTTAGGAGTCTTTCTGCCTTTGAAGTCTCACATTCTATCTGTGGGCCCAGAGGCCCACTTCTCTTTACTGGAGGGCATCAGACTGTGATAGCAGGCTACCTTCAACAATTTCCATCTAGTGAGTTTGGGTAAGTGACTTCACCTCCATGAGCCTCATCTATAAAATGGGGATAATAATTACCACTATGGGATTGCTAGAAAGGTTAACTGCAGCCCTTAGCATAGTGCTCAGCACATATTGGCTGGGCTCAAAAAATGGCAGCAGTCATACCCAAAGATCAAGAAACAAAAGAAAAACAAGTTAATTTATCAAAATTAAAAAAAAAACTTTTTGCATTAAATAACACTATCAAGAAGTGAAAACACAACCCACAGAATGAAAGAAAACATTTGGAAATTGTATATCTTACAAGAGTCTAGTATCCAGAATATATATAGAAGTCTTACAACCCAACAATAAAGAGATACACAACCCAATTTTTAAAAGGGCAAAGAACTTGAATGGAAATATTTCCTAAGAAGATATACAAATGGCCAACAAGCTCATGAAAAAATGTTTGACATCAGTAGTCATCAGGGAAATGCAAATCAAAACCACAATGAGATACCTTTATAATCACTAGGATGTCTAGAATAAACAACAACATGGGAAATAGCAAGTATTGGCAAGGATGTGGAGAAATTGGTGTCATTGTGCACTGCTGGTGGGAAAATAAAATGGTGCAGCTGCTGTGAAAAATAGTTTGGTGACTCCTCAGAAAGTTAAACACAAAATCATCATATGACCCAGCAATTCTACTCCTGGGTATACTCATATACCTAAGAGAAATGAAAACTCATGTCCACACAAAAATTTATGTACAAATGTTCATAGCAGTATTATTTATAATAACTAAAAAATGGAAACAACTCAAATGTCCACCAATGAATTAATGGATAAACAAAATGTGATATATCCATACAATGGAATATTATTCAGCCATAAAAAGGAATGAAGTACTGATATATGATACAACATGTATGAACCTTGAAAATGTTATGGTAAGTGAAATAAGCCATATATAAAAGTCACATATTGTGTGATTCCTTTTATGTGAAATATCCAGAATAGGCGAATCCATAGAGACAGAAAGTAGACTTGTGGTTGCTAGGGGATTGGGGGAGAGGGAATGGGGACTGCCTGCTAATGGGTACAGGGTTTCTGTTTGGGGTGATAAAGATGTTATTGAACTAGATAGTGGTGATGGTTGCATAATATTGTGAATGCACTAAATGCCTCTGATGGTAAATTTCTTGTCATGTGTATTTTACCCCAATTTAAACAAATTTCAATGGTGGCAGTCATCTGTATTTGGAGCAGTCCCTTACCCTGGGCTGACAGCCAATTCCTGAGGTCACTCCTGATGTCTTGGGGGTTGATCTCTCCCCTCTTAGTAAGACCATGGTGTCTGGTTTGGCTGAGGCTGGAGCATACCTGAGCAGATGGGCTCCTGGCTGCTCCAGTGGGGCTTGGAGGCATTGATGCAGGTCAGTGTCTGGGCGCCCTGCAGCTCATAGCCCAGGTGGCAGTGGAAGTGGGCCACCCCACCTGAGTGCAGGTCCATCACTGTGACATCCCCAGAGTCAGGACGGCGGGGAAAGTTGCAGCTCAGCATAAAGGCTGGGAAGAGATACAAAGGCAGACACAGTCAGCCCTCAGAGGGGGAGACTAAGAATGTGACCCACATCCTGGGAGCCAATTTGTACTGAGAAAAGATGAGGCCCCTGGGGACTCCGCAGCACTGGAGGACAGTATTTTTGTGACTCTCACAGATCGTATGATGCTGAAGCTGCCCAGTTAGCACTTTATAAGGGCTCAAAACTCCCCACCCTGCTTAATGAGGGACAGCAGGTTTGGGGTGAAAAATGAGTTCCCATACCTCATTTGAGCCTCCCCCTATGTGGACAAAGAATAGGCTTCTCCTTGGGAATAGGAGGGGCAGGATTCTCTTGATAGGATAGTCCCACCTGCACACACATCTTAGGTGTTTGTTAAAAATGCAGACTCTTGGATCAGCTCTTCAGGAAAGGCCCCAGGATATGAAAGCTTGAAAACAACTGGCCTGGGAGCTAAGGGCTTGGGCTTTGGAGAGAGACCAAAGGGAGTTTACATTGTTATTCTGTCACTTAGAAACTATGTAACCTTGAAACAATGACCCATTGCCCTGAGTTTTACTTTCCTCATCTTTCTAGTGGCATTGATAGTTGTCCCTACCTCACAGGTGGTGGTAAGCACTAAATGAGATAATGCCAAGAAAGAGCCTTCTCAGCGCAATTCTAGTTCATAGTTAGCGCTCACTAGCTGGGGCTAGTAAAAGGGTGTGTGTGGCCACAGTTAGCTCCTCAACTTTTGTAGGAGGATGTCAAATTCATCCTAGCGACACCCCTAGCCATGATCTGACCTCTTCTGCAGCACAGAATTTCTGTATTTCCAGAACTACTTAGGAGGAATAAATTCAAGCTTATGGCTCAGCAAGATTTCTTTTTTTTTTCGTTTTTAAATTTACAACGGCAACGAAGGGTGGTCTCAATATTGAGAAGTTGGGATGAAGCGGCTACTCCCACATACAGTCATCTACCTGTGTCAGAAACGTCTGAGGGAAAAGTTAAAAGTGAATTGTTCTTCCAGATGTCTGGTCAATTTTAAATAAACGTGGATGACTCCCAATATCTGGAAGTGAAGCTGATGCATCCACTTTCCATTCAGATATTCCGGCAGCTGGTGGGTGTCCACAGGGAGCTCCTGGCTAAGGGAAGGGAGACCTGAGGCCATGGGAACTGCCCAGGAGGTGAGGAAAGGGGATGACAAGGTGGGGGGGGGGAAGAAGGAAGGAAAAGAGGAATTGGGAGAGACAGAGAAGGAAGAGGGGATGGAGGGAGAAAAGGAAGAAATAAAGGAAGCAGGAAAAGAGGGAAATGAAGAGAAGGAAGGAGAAAGGAAAGAGAAGAGAGGAAAAAACAGAAAACAGGAGAGGAGACCTAGAATCAGGCAAAAAGGAAAGAAAGAAAAATTGTAGAGCAAGAACAGAGAGAGAAGGATCTGCGGTACATGTTCTCTGCCAGGAATTTATGAACTCCCAGGGGATTCGTGTACTGAATTCAGGGGTCATGAACTTGAAGGGCGGAGAGTGGCTTGCTGATTTTCATCGCCTCTAACTGAGCTGCAGTATTACCTTCAATCAGGAGTGTAGGCCACAGACTCTAACATAGTAGTAGAACCTGCGACTTTGTCTCTAAGAGAATCCACAGATACCTTCATATCCCAATGGATATCTTGACATATTTCTTATGCTCCTCAGTTCTCTAAAATTACAGTAATTATCAGAACCATCAGGGGATATTATT